TATCGCTATATTAAAAGGACTACGAAGGAAATATAATTTGAAATGTTGGTTTATTTTATTTCGTTCACTCATCTATTCATTAACTAAAAGATAATAACTTATTGTTGTGGGGTGGTAAGTAATAATATATCAATTATTAATAATAATTCTTGTTGTATATATATATAACTGTATTAACGAGGTTTACTATTATGGTTATTGTTATGTATGCGTGCAAGTAATTTATTGTATATACGTTGCATTAACTTATTATTGTATTAATATGCACGCGACCATCAAGGTAAGTAATAATATTGTATACATATATAATATTGTATTAACGGGTTTACTATTATCATTATGGTTTATTGTTACGCGTGTAATTAATATATCAGTCGTAGGAATTTTGATGATCGGCATCGAATTTTTCATAGTAAAATTTACAATTGAATACTTTCAACCCCCAGTTTAATGCCCTTGTTGTTTAGCAATAATCACCAAATTTGATATATAGTTTCTTTATAGTATACATCTATTTCATGAAAATTTTTGAGGCAGTTTGTTAATAAAACCGTAGGTAATCACAACCTTAAAGTTTTTTTTTGTTTCTGTGATCTCATGTGTAGAAAATTGTCATTCGTATTGATTGCAAACAAATAATTATTTTTTACAAGTAATTACAGAACCCAGTCACTTAGGTATGCTTTCTATATATTATTACATATTAAGAATAGAATTTTGCTAGGGAAAGTTTATAAAGTAATGTAAAAATTATTCATTATTATATATATATATATATATATATATATATGTATATGTATATATACACACATATATAGTTTCAACTTTAAATTTATTAATATACTATTGTATTTTTTGATATAAAGAAAGGTTTCATTCTTGGTATAAAGGAAGATTTTGTTTTTGGTACAAAGAAAAGTTTCGTTTTTGGCACAAAAGAAAGATTTCATTTTGATATAAAGAATTAATGTTGATAAAGTTATTATAAATATAAGATGTTTAAATCACTGCCTGGAAGAAAGTATCAGGACACATATTTTTAATAATTATGCAAAATTTTACATAACAATAAATTATAAAAATAATATCATTTTGTGGCTTAAGTCTTTGAGAATATGCTTATAAAATGTCATGTTTCTAGCCTTCATTTATATTTTTTAATTTTAAAAATACAAACTTCAATTAAAATCACAATGATCAACCTTGTATATTTTTTAATTTTACAATTTCTTAAAATTTTTCATATTAAAATTAAAAGAAATTTATATCAATATGTAGCTTAGGTTCTCAAGAATACTTATTTGAAATTTCATGACTTTACCATGGTTAGATATATTGTTATTTAAAATAAAGGATCTGTGCTAACATTGATGGATTAAAATTTTTTTGATCTAATTTTTTAAAAATGTCTAAAAATTCAGAATTGACTGAAACTGAACGAGGAAAAATATTAGGTCTTAGAATATGTGGTAGTAGTATTAGAAAGATTTCAAAAATACTTAAAATTTCAAAATCTACTGTTCACAAAAATATTCAACATTATGAGAATGCAGTGAGTCTAAAAAGCGCATCAAGAAGTGGCCGTCCAAGGGCATTAAAAGTTAATGATCAAAAAATCCTGAAAGAGATTGTGACAAAAAAAAATCATAGTTCTGCAGAAGAGATCCAAAAAGGTTTTGTTCAAGTAAGTGGCATTCAAGTATCAACAAAAACTATTCGAAAAAATTTGCATGAACTTGGAGTTTTTTCTAGAGTTGCTGCAATAAAGCCCTTATTAACAGAACAGCAAAGAGAAAATCGATTAAAGTGGTGTTTAGACAGAAGAGGTTGGACTGTGAGACAATGGAATAATGTCATCTGGAGTGATGAATCCCGTTTTAAAATTTTTAGGAGTGATGGACCATCTTGAGTTTGGAGGAAAAATGGCAAATGTTACAATATTGAGAATATCAGACTGTCTGTTAAACATGATGGTGGTAGAATAATGGTGTGGGGGTATTTTTCTGGAAAGGGATTAAGACCTCTAGTAAAAGTAGATGGACAGATGAATAATCAGGATTATATTGAAATTTTGGAAAATAATTTGATGCCATTAATTTCAACACAATTTCATAATAGAGGTTACAAATTTCAAGATGATAATGCACCAGTGCACACAGCAAATAATGTAATCATTTGGATGAGAGAAAAAAATATTGTGACATTACCTGATTGGCCATCCCAGTCTCCTGATTTCAATCCGATTGAACACCTTTGGGATGAGTTGGAAAAGAGATTGAAAAAACGTGAAATTTATCCCAAAAATGCTCAAGAATTGAAACTTGCTTTGCAAGAGGAATGGTCTGAAATTCCTCAAACAGTTTATCACAAATTGATTGAAAGCATGCCAAGGAGAATAGAGGAATGCATTGCTAATGGGTGGCCAACACGGTATTGATTTATTTTGTTTATGATCAACAGTAAAAATTTTTAAAAATTTAAATTTAATTGAAGTTCGTTTTTTTAAAATTAAAAAATATAAATGAAGGCCAAAAACATGAAATTTTATAAGCGCATTCACCAAAATCTAAGCTACGTTTTGATAAAAATTTTATGTATAATTATTATGTGAGTTTTTGTGTAATTATTAAAAACAGGTGTCCCGATACTTTCTTCCAGGCAGTGTATATTATACAAATTATTGGGTAACAAATGGAGGGCATCTACATATAAGAACAGGAACAAAACCATGTATACATGATAAAGAATCATCCCCATCTTTGATTTTTTTTTTTTAGATGGATCAACAATGTTGCTTCTTCAGATGATATAAATGCAAAAAATATATTATTAAATCTTTTAATACAAGTTTTTAAAAATTTTAATACAGAAGTTTCTACCAAATCTATAGTACAAGATTTCACATCAACAGAATCCATAGTAGAAGAATCCTCCATATCTTCTAATAATTTAATAGTTCCTAGACCAACTTTATTTCTTTTAAGTGTAGTATTTAGAGCAAATAAAATATCTATAAATGAAAATTTACAATCAAATTAATTACAAATGGAATCATATATAAAATTTAGTAAATCTTTAGCAACATCTGTATGGAAATCACATACCCAACTCATAGAAAATAAAGAAACATTAGAGAACCTGCCACACTTGCTGAATTTTACAAAATAATGCCAGAAGATTTTAATGAACTTATTTTTTGGCTTATTTATGATCTAGAAGAAAAAAATATGATGCAATAAAAAGAAAAAGAAAACAATGCAAATCACCTCTGCCTGTGTTCAATGAATCTGATGTAATAAAGCTCACTACATTTTGGCATAGTAATATTAATATTTGCTTTTCCTAATGCTTTACACAAGTGATGTTGTCATTATGCCAGAAACCAAGACTGATGCCTTATCTATATTAAATATTATAAAAAGTCCATGTTGTTCCACATACAGATACATCTAAAAGAGTAGAAGAAATAGAAGAAATATAAGAAGATGCAATGAATATGGAATTAGCAAAGGTTTCAGAAATGCCTATCCAACAGCCAGAAATATCAAATCAAATTGAAAAGGATGTTCCAGTACCTTCTACCTCAAATTTAATTTTACCAGATCTAATTGTAATTCGAAGAAGGGTGTTTTCAGATGAAGAAAAAGAAATCCTTAAAAAGTTAGATCAACATACATAATTTTTGCCTGCAAGTTTTGTTGAAGAATTATTGATGGAATTAAAAAATTATTCAAGTTCTTGGACTTAAAACAAATTAAAGATCATTGGTATAATAAATACAAAAGAAACAAAAATACTTAACTTTTTTTTTTTCTATTTCTAATTCATCAAATAAATAATATACCTATAGAATTTATTATTTTAAATAATTGATATACTTAGTCCATTCAATTTATTCATTTTTTTTTGTTAATTGTAAAAAAAGATTCAGTGAATGATCTTTACGTGAATAATATTAAAAGTCTCTGAAAGAGTTTTCGTGAGCCTCTCTAAAACTTATTAACCAACACCCCCTATAAAGTAATAACCATATGAAAGCTTAAAGTATTCTATACCTTGTCTGTTACTATCAAGTCTTTTAAAGCGATATTGGTAGATAATCACAACTTTGAAGTGAAAAAGCACCACTACTTTTAAATAGCCATAGCTTTATATAGAGAGCGTTCTCAGATATAAAAATATATGGTTAGAAAGCTTAAATGGTGTAGTTTCTTTTTATCTTAATAGTGAAGTTCAAGTTTATTATTAGAAAGTCGAGATATTTTTAAAACCCGATTTGTTACACGGATTTGAAATTTTAATTTCACATATGAAATTACACTCTCTGTGACATGTCCCACGACTGTTAGAATACGAACCGTTATGAAAATAATTAAATTTAATTGGACGTATTTTCAGCCAATCAAATGAGAATGATAAAAATAAATCAATCGAAATTTAAAATTTTAATTTAACCCAACGCAAATGAATCCTAGGTCATAAACTTCAATTCTTTCGGTTCCTTTTTTTTTTTTTTTTTTTGAAATCCTAGTACAGAAGAATTTTCAACGAAAACTTTTATAATATCAATTAGCACAAAAACATACATGATAAAATAATTAAAATTAATTATAATTACAAATCAGTTTATAAATGTTATCAATTAAAAAAAAAAAAAGGTTTATTATGGAAATAATTGCCTAGAACCTACATATTATAATATGTTTCATGTAATCTCTAATAGTCTCAACCATTGAACGCAGTATAAATTTTGATATTGTTACATGTGAAATATCAAATTAGATTCTTTTATAAATTTTCTGTGTGGGAAAATCAAATTATAACAACCAAGATAATAATGTAATATATACTGTATATATGTGTTATTGTGTGAAGATCAAAAAAAATTTTTTTTTAGCATTGTTAACGACATATCTTAGTTCCTATATTTGATTTGAATGAATAGCCTTGTAATTTAAAATCACTGGATGTACTTACAATTTTTATTTAAAGACCTCCTCATCCAAGTTACATTTGATTTTTAAAAAAAAATTTTTTAAAAAATTTTAATATCTTTTATCAAAAAAAAAAATAAAAACACATAGTAGATAATTTAATTAATATAATTGTTAATTTATTCATTCATAAAAAAAATGTCAAAACAAGAGATTTCTGAACCTTTTTTTTTGGTTCTCGCGAAAATTTTCTGCATTTATTATTTAAAGTCTTCTCTCTCGAATTCTTTTTCAACTACAAAAAAAGTAAAAAGAGTCACATCAAGGCGGGAGAATAAATCCATTTGGGCTCGTAGATATTATGGAATGGTCCAAAGAAGAAAAAATTTAAAGAGAAAAATAATTTCAGAAATTTCAAAAGATTCCAAACAAGAAGGGCAAAAAAGAAAAAAATTAAAACCAAAAATAATACTATATAATAAAGAACACCGAAAAATAATTTATCTCGATAACGATCAAAAATATTTGAAATGGAAGATAGTCGATGTTCCAAGTAACAACAACAACAACAACAACAACAACAGTAACATATTTGCATCTCTTCCTATATTATTAACACAAATATTATCACCATTTTCTTCATCGTCTTCTCCTGCATTATCATCATTTTTATCATCAACTTCCTTTTCCCATTTTCTTTCTTTTGGTAATACATTGATCCAAGATAATACACAGGATGCTCAATCTGCTATACCGACCCAAGAACCAGACCCTGAACAATTGTATCTGGGAGAATCCAACCACCTACATATTGATGACAATAATACTGATGTCATAGAAACTGAGGATCATGAAACTTATAATAATTGTCCTGGTTTGAACCCTGAATGGTTTATTGAGGGTGTTAATACGGAAGCATCATTAACCAATAATATCACGCCAAGTCAATTTCAATGTGGAGAAGATCAAATCGATGCTTATAACCATGATTATTATTCTACATTACAATCTTTCTATCAATCTTCTTGATTTATATTTCTTCTATTTGTATTTCTTTTTATTATTGTAATGCTGTTATTTAGTGACTTCGATTTACAGGCGACTTCGTCGTCACTATATAAAGTTTTATTTTGTATTTGGTTTTACTGTCAATTAAGTTGTTGTAAGTTTGTCGTTAATAATATATGTTGTTCGATATATTATAAATGTGTATCTTAATATTTAATAAATATAAAAAAAAAATTATTTAAAAACAAAATACCGATAAATGTATTGATAATATTCTTAACCATTGATGTTTTATAAATACCTAATTAATTCTAATTTAAAAGTAAAAGGTATTAAATTAAAGACCAGGAAAGAGTAGACGGTCAGTTCTCTCTCGTTGTAGTGGTTCTCGGTTCCATATGTAAGTTTTTATTTTTTCCATTGTAACGAGCGACTGTAACGAGATTCACCGCAATGAGGTTTGACTGTAATAGGGATGGTTTTTTTTTGACTATTTCTATAAGTTTTATTCTGACAATACATAGTAATGGACTTCCTTACCCTGTTACGATTTGGTAGACAAGGTAAAGAAGTTTTTATAAGATAAAAGATATTTTTAAGAATGTCGTTAGTAAAATCAAAGGAAAATTATATGGTTACTATATAGTGAATTTGGTCGTCTTATTAAAATAAATGCAACAATAAATTTAATGAAAGATTTTTCCATATTATATATATTATATGTAAATGTTTGTTATAACTAAAAAGTAGCATTTTGATTTAAATACGTTGTAAACTTTTTTTATTTTAGAAAATGGGAATCCAAATTATATATATATACACTCACTTTCTTTTCAAAAAATTAGTTATTATTATAGAGCACTAGCTAACCTGTCTTGTAATAATGATTTACCACAAAGTCCGAAGAGTTAGCACACCTACTACTACTATAAAATAATTGAAACGAATGTTACACGTTTATAAATAAAAAGAGGACCGGACTTTACGGTCAATTTTCTTGTACGACAATAAATTTATTATTTTATCCATTATTATAAATTCATTATTAATATTAGGAATTGCGGATGAAACTCCGATAAAAAGAAAATTTATTACTATTGCTATATTTAGGATTCTGATTAAAGAATAAAAAGCGTCGTGAAAAAAAAAAGAAGTCATAATAGTTACAAACCTAACAAATCTGTCAATACTACACAAATGAATCGGGTTACGTTGCAAATAACTGTTAACAAATTAGAATGTTTATTGTTTGATCATTTATGTATGTTATCAAAGAGGTTAAATTATGCTGTAATTTATTTTTTAAAGAATATTTATATAATTGTGTTCGCTGATTTATAATGGCGAGAATAGATGGGTAATTTGCTGGTGGTGGCCGTAGTTTTCACAGACGAATTTGATAGATGTTATACAAACATCGCTAAATGGAAAACTGGAGAGACGGATATTAATAATAAAAGAAAAGAGAAAGAAATATTCTTACAAACAATATTATTTCTGAAAGCGTACTCTTTATTTCTTTATGAATTCTTAAATTTTTAAGATCGAGTCGTCCCCCACCCAGGTAAATTAAGAAAAGAAATATTTATTATGACTTTGTGTCCCACCTTCGGTTGGCGATGTATATTTTATACTAACGATAATAAGGATTTGTTCGTTCAACGCGTGTGTAACAGTATACATTATAGAGTCACGTAATACGTTTATGCTGCTACGAAATCTTATAACATTTTACATCTTCTCAACTCATCTAATTATCAGCCCTACTAAAAACGAATAATTAACATATGATATTAATATTGATTGATTGATTGATTAATTGATTGATATTGTTATGCGTTAGTTAGTTACCCACAATAATTTTTTAAATAAATAAATAGAAAGAGTTTCAAGCGGGAGAAAGAAAGATTTTTTTTTCTGTTTACCATCATTACCAGTTTTGTTAACCCGTATAATTATTAATTAAAAATACAAAAAGAATATTTGTTCTATGTAATCCAGAGAGAACACAGACACTTTCTCCTACAAAATCATAAACAATCTGTGTAGACAATACTAATTATTATTGTCGATGGGAGATGGATTGCATGCATATGAAGATACTTATTATACAGACTACTTATTATCATTAATGATTTCAAATGAACATATTAATTATAGTTATCATCATAAGATTTTTACCTTCTTGTTTTACAAATTTAGTTTTCATTACGCAAACTATCTAACATATTCATGTATTCTTGTACAAATCAGAATTGTAATATGAATGAAAGAATTAAATTAGTTAATATTAATGTTTTGATAAAAAGATTTCATCCCTAAATTATCTTTGGCGTTATTTTTTTTTTGCTATATTATGAAGCTTGCATAGAAATAAAACTAGCCAAACTAATATTAATTAAATTACAGCCTTCGCTTATCTATCTACTTTTTACAAATATCGTTATCATTGTCTTTATTTAAACATTTATTATAAAAAATGCATCACTAACTACTCTTTGTATTAAATAATTATTCTTTGTAATAATCTCAGAATCTTGGAACATGTTTGAATGAAATTGAATGATTGGTTGTTTTGCGTAAATAGATAAATGATTTTAATACTAAAGGAAAATTTTATATAAGCTTGTATAATATTACGAGACCCCTTCATCTGTCTATTTTCATAATTACCGTTATCATTGTTTTTTTTTTTATTTAAACATTTATGTTACGTTTTCAGGACGTTAACAGATAATTATAGCTAAACCCGAAATTTAAAATTAACTGTAACAAGTAAAACAACTTGATCAAGTTTTGTTTCTAAATTTATCTAGTTACGCGATGAAAATTCAACCCTGATTTGTGGCTTTGAAATATGAAATATATAGCAATAATTTGTAAAGTAAAAAAGCGCCAACTTCACCATTGAACAAGTAAACTCGATTAAAATCCACCTGCACATGAATGCGCGGCCAGATGATTTTCTTTCAAAAGCATCTTGATTACTAAAAAAATTTTTTTATTAATAAAACAATAAATATTCTTTTTAACAAAAATTTATAATTAATAACAAATGTTTCTTTCTTTTTATTTGCCCAATGTTCAATATTCGTATGCTATTTCAAAATCAAAATCTGTAAAATAAAAGATTTATTGTTAAAAATCAAAAGTAGTTTATCTATTTATCTATACTTTGCTGCACGAATTTCTCTGCAGGTAAATTATTATTGGCAAGCTTAAATGTAACACAAACCATCGATTACATTTATTAATTCGTGATAGAAGTAAATGATTGGGTTAATATTTACTATTTTACTTCAGAAATCCAGAGATACCCGATAGTAAAATTTGGTTTTTTATTAAATAAAAAATTTTTTTTTTATGTGAAGCAATTTTATAGTTCTAATGTATCTAAAATCACATTATTTTTTGTTTGCGGAATATTATGTTATAATGGAGAGAAGTATTTCAATTCGTCGATTTTTTACACATTTTTGCCCCAAATCGACATATAGATTTTATCTACTTCTATCACGTATCACGAATTAAGGTTGAATGAACAATTATAATTCAACTCCTATATAGACAAAAGGTGACTACCAACAACATAAAATCTAAAAGGATATTTTTTATCATCTTTGAAAAAAAAATCCATCACTCATAAGCAATATGGTCATAATGAAATTATCAAAAATTAAGCAATTGTCATTTGATTTTGATATAACACAAGTACAAACACTAACCAGATATAACACAAAAATGATGTTATTTTAAGAGAAATGTCTCAAGAAGTTATTATCTAACTGTGGGTATGCTTTTAAGTTCAAAAGGATCTCTGCACAAATTTACATAAAAGTGTGTGCTTAACTTGATTTTAACCTTGGGATCCTGAGACATGTTCCTGCACAAAAAGTTTCAATAATAAATAAATTTGAATAAATATCCGGTCCTTTAGACGAAAGGATCTGTTTAAAAGTTTGACACTTGTACACTCACCTGCCAAAAGTATCCAGACAAAATGTAGATCATGTAAATTTCCGTGACATTTCTGGGTGTTTTACACAAAAATACTCGAAAACTAGCGAGAAA